AGGACTGACGAAAAATGGAAATTAGTAATTAAATTAGAAACGTCTGCGTTAGAAAAAAGATTAGAACAGGCACGTAGAATAATACAGGTCACAGGGAAAATGTGCGCAAGTGTAGAGATCCGTGACAGTAACAAAGTAAGCTGTGGAAACGTTTATTCCGAACTACAAAGTAGAGAACAAGTGGTAACTCAAATTTTCCAACGAATTAGAATAATAGTAGGACTTTCGTTACGAAAGCGTCGAGGACTAGTCAATGGAGTCGGCTCGATAGCCAAGCAACTCTTCGGTACGATGGACGCGAATGACGAGAAAGTAATCACTGATCACATCAACTTAATAGAAAGTAGACAAACAGCCGAACAACATGCAATAAAAAATCATTTAAAAGTGTTAAATGCAACAATAGCACATCTGGACGGGGTGGAAAGCATAATCCAAAGTAACGAAGAAACGCTAGCAAACTCCGTGTCGCAAATAATGACGTCGGTAAATAAACAAAACCAGGGAAATCTTTTAAACGAACATCTGTTATCCGTCACAAATATGTTACAACAATTAGAATTAGACGTAAAAGAAGTAATAAACCTTATAACAAAAACAGATGACAAACTTACACAACTAGAATTCATTCCGATTGAACAAATAATACAAAGTTTACGCGACACAAGCGGCCATTTACAAGGTGATTTACGCTTTCCATTCCAAATTACGGCGGAAAATTGGATAAAAATAAAGGAAGTTGTAACGGTTGCTGTGTACTGCAAGGGGTCGGATGTCTTAATAGTAATAAACGTACCGTTGGTGCATGCCGTGGTGCACGAGATCTGTAATGTGATACCCTTGCCGGTACACGTGCACGGTAACGTGTTTGCAGTAGCACGGGTTCGACATGCCCTTATCGCAATAGACAGCAACCGACAGACGTATGTGTTACTGTCAGTTAGTGTCACAGGGTCAGTTAGAAAAGTGTAAAAATGATCAAGGTCATTACATCTGCGGTAGCGTAGTAACACTTTATAAGGTACAAACAAATTCGCCATGCGAGATACAGGCATACGTACACGAACTAAACAACTATTCAAATTGTAAGACGACGTATGAGACGTCCAACCACACTATTTGGATTCAATCGCAACAGGAACGTAGATGGCTGTATTCTACGCTAGGCGAGCAGTTTGTAACCTTCAGGTGCGAGAAGGAACCCGATAGAACGGAGACCTTAACGGGAGTTGGAGAAGTAATACTGACAAATCAGTGTGGGTTTTCAACCAAAGATATTTTTGTCAACACTAAAACAGTAATAGAACATGCGCAAATTAATACGTACTTACCACGATTTAATATTACACTTACACAAACAAACGGAACCGTACCACAAAACGTACACGCGTTTGACGAAGTAAAGTTACAAAATTTGACACACACCAAAACACAGTTGCAGACGATAAGTAATCAGATACAGGAAACTAGTAACGATTTCGATCAAGAATTTTATAAACAACCATATTTTGTGTATCCCACAAGCATAAGTGCGGTAACAGTACTGTTAATAATAGCCATTGTAATATATATCGTAGTTAAAAGTAAAAGAACAACCGCGCAACAACAGCAGTGTTAGCGACGGGTACATTTTGTCGATGATATAAGTAAACTACGACCTTCATAGATAAAACACAAGTGCGAAGATCGAAGACCCCACATTGAGAGGGTGGCAACCACACTTCTTTAAAAGTCAGTGTGTAGTAAGTGTAAGAAAAACCTCCCCTTTTAGTTTTTCTTTTCCAACAGGGGAAGGGGAATATGTTATATAATATGTTATAAGTTATGTGTTAGTTATGTATTAAGTTGTATATTAAGTGTTGTGTAATAAGCGGTATCGGTTAAGTTCGGGGTTTGGTTACTGGGTTTAATGTTACTTTAAACGGGGGACTGGAATCCGGCGCGGGTGTCCAGTCAGCAGTCGCGGGGCGATATGCGACCGCGTGCACAAGGACGCACCGGTCAAAGATCGCACGTGCAGCCGAAAAGATGCAATGGTTTGCATTGCACTTTTCGAGGGCCGGATGTCGCCTGGTTTTCCTCGGCCAATCACAGAGTGATTGACTCGAGGATATAAGCCGGTGTCCGGGCGGAAACAGCAGAATCGTCTGGAATAGTGTCGCGGCCGGAGGCTCTGCCCATCAGAGCATCGCTCGTCAGGACTTAAGATATCGCGAGTGAGTGGAAGTGTAATAAATGCAGAATAAGAAATAAATGAATTTATTTAAAAACTTAATAAGTTTTGTAAGATAGTAATAATTCTCCTCGGCGTCCCTCCCACGCAGCATCCTCGACCTCACGCGAGGTAACACCACTATGACGTCACGCGGCGTAACGCGGAGGACCCTTTTTATGGCGACTTCACACGCGCACCAGAAGCGACGTCATACGCGGTTTGACAAAATGGCGGCGGCAATATGGCGGCTTGACAATATGGCGATTCTAAGGTATGTACTTGTTAAGGCGGTAATATGCATGATATTTTTAATGTTACTTAACAATATGGCGACTCCAAGACATATATGTTTTTTATATAACATGACAAAACTATTGCACATATTTTTTTTTCGGCACGTGCCAGTATACGCAGTGCGCGTAAAGTTGCAGAGTTGCACGTTTTTTAGCGAGAACGTGCACAGTTGCAGTTTTACTTTTAGCGCAAAGTAGCATTTTTTTTAATGTTGCGCAACACTATGGCGACTCCAAGAAATATATGTTGTTATATATATAAACAAACAGCAACTATGTATTGGTGCACATATGTCTTTCGATATGTGCCGCGGTATGTAACATTATACGCAGGGACGCGTAAAGTTGCAATTTTTAGCAAGAATTGCATTTTTTTATTTTAGCACGAAGTAATTGCAATTGTATTAGCAAGAAATAACATAGACGTAATATTCACTTGTTTGAAGTTTTATTTATGACATATATGATTTACATGCATTATATTGTAACGATGCAAATCGGTACGGCCGGGACCGACCATCCGTCCCGGCCCAAATAACGGCGCATAGTGCCAAATAAACGTTATAAAACTGCAGCGTGTATTAGATACACGCTGACGGCGTACCGCCCGCACCGCGCGCTTTCTGCGCCCACAAACGCCAGCTGATACCGCGCCCGCACCGCGCGCCCCGCCGCGCCACGAAACGACCAGCGTAACAAACAAATAATTGTTTTCCGCGCATTTTGTCAACTCCGCCCGCGGAAAACTGCGAGTATAAAAGCCGGGCCCAAAAGCGAGGAGATCAGATCCGCCTGATCTCCGAATCTAGAAAGAAGCACCTAGGGAAGTTCCATCTCGGTCGGGCAAACCGACGGCGACTCTGAGATTCGATCCTCTTCGGGAGAATAAGTCTCTTATTCTCTCCGCCGAGTAAACCGGCATCCTCTCCGCTCCGCTCCGGGGAATCGTAGATTCTCCGCCGGGTAAACCGGCATCCGTTCCGCTCCGCTCCAGGGGAATCTCGTATTCTCCGCCGGGCAAACCGGCATTCTCTTCCGGGGAATCTTGTATTCTTCGCCGGGTAAACCGGCCTTCCTTCCGCTCCGCTCCAGGGGAATCTCGTATTCTCTGCCGGGCAAACCGGCTTTCCGATAGATCCACTCTAGGGGAATCTCGTATTCTCCGCCGGGTAAACCGGTTTTCCGCTAGATCCGTTCCAGGAGAACAAGCAAACACCTGCGCTGAGCTGCGCCCAGCGAAAAGGGCCGGCCGACCAGCAAAGATCCATTTACGTAAGAAAGCGACTTATCCGTTGTGTAAATATTATCCAAAACTCACTTTTCTGAAACTCACTTTTGTTGTACAAAGTATCGTTGCTACTCACTTTTCTTTTCGTTGCGTAAATCATGAGTTTTTCTAAAACTCATTTTTACAAGAAGTAATATTGTGGAATTTACTGTGAAAATACTTTCTTACTTTTCTTTTAATAAATTCTTTTTTTTTTTGTTTTGTTTGAAACCTAACCGAGTTTACTCTATTTGACTTTACCGTGATCCCGACAAGCTATTCCGCAGCTGAATAATAAATTTAATTAAAACGAGAACGGAGTAAGTGTCGACCAAAAAAGTCAAACCGTTACAATATATTTCCACAGAATAAATTACAGCAACTATGTAGTGTTGCAACTAAAAAACTGCTAATAACAGCAAAAACTTGCTAATTGCGTATTAGAAAAAATGATGGAGAAATGACTCATAAATTCTGCAAAATATGCATTTTTTATCGGATATCAGATTTCATCAACTTGATCACGAAGTAACGTAACATAATCCTATTATATATTAAAGTAAACAAATAAATGCTGGTGTCAGCACAAATTGCTAACTGCGTCGTAGAAAATAACAATTACACAATTTTTACATATGACTCATAAATTCTGCAACACTGCACTTCTGTCGGATATCAGATGTCATCGATTTTATCACATATTCAAAGTTTGCAAACGTGGCACTTTCTTTCGTGTATCAGATGTCATTTTCTATTAAACAAAGATGTGTGTATAGTTTAGTATGTAAAGCTACAATTTCAACAAATATGCAGCATCAGCAAAAATGCACTATAAAAAGGCGAAACCCGATGCATATAATTAGTATTTCATCAGAAAACGGTTGGAGCAATCAATTGCTGTGTGTCTCGAAACCAAAGTGTTATAAGAGTGAAAAAATGGAAACAATCGCGCACATAGAGCGCAATGTATTGGAACAGTCGACTTGTTTGAACTCGCGAGAAGAGTTTGTCGCGTGGGGGCAGCGTTGTAAAGAATGTCTCGAATTATTGGAAGAACATAGTCGGAACAAACGTCCGCGACTGTCTGTAGAAGTCAGACAATCGCTGGTCAATAGAATTGTCCGACTCAAAGGATTAAAAAATTCACTTCGTCGAGTTTGCATATAGTGGCACCGGACATGGACTTACATGGCGAGAGATAGACACCGCTTTTGAGAGTAGACTAATGACGGGTATCATCAACGAACATCACGTTGAACCACGCCATTTTCTCGAACACGCGAGAAGCACGGTGTTGGAAAAAGTGCAAAATGCCATTGAGAAACACAATAATCTGAAAATCAATACAACGTTCAATGGCGAATTTGTATCGGGAAATAAACGGGCCAATAAAAGTATAACTACCAGAAATTCGGAAATTTTTTGTACAACTAATTTAGACGAGTGGTACGATACATCATCGAACCCACGTTAGCGTCTTTAGATGAATTCTAAGAACCTCGATAGTGGGTGGGCCTTGTCACGTATACAGAATTTAACTGTAAACGTGAACAAGTATAATCCATTGCGCGCAGGATGTCGTATAACTTTGCCATCAGAAGTGAAGTATAAGAGAGCGGTAATTAACGTATTATCTAAAAATAATGCATGCTTTACATGGTCGGTGGTCGCCGCTCTTTATCCAACCGAAGAAAATGAACATCGCACATCATCGTATCCCCACTATACAACAGTGCTAAATCTACAGGACATTGAGTTTCCAATGAGTATACACCAAATATCAAAATTTGAACGGCTCAACGACATCTCCGTCAATGTGTACAACATGGAATTGAAGAGAAATAAGAAGAAGAAGAACAAACTTGTCATCCTTCCAATACGACTTACAGAGCAAAAGAAAGAGAAACACGTAAACTTGCTCTATGTTTCGGATTCACGAGACGTTGATCGTGGACACTTTGCGTGTATAAAGAATCTGTCTCGACTCGTGAGCGCACAAGTATGCAAACACAATGGAAAGAAATGAATTTGTGACAGGTATGCTTTTGCGTTATATATGTATATAAGATGTGTGAAATGCTTTTGCGTTATATATATAGAATTTGTGACAATATGAAAAAATAATATATATTTGCAGATGTTTACATTATTTCCATTCTCTGGACAAATTGAATGTTCACAACATAGATTGCGGAAAATTAAACAATTGCGCGATCCGGTTACCAGCGGAGGATAACAAATGGCTCAGTTTTAACAACCACAGTAGAAAGGAACGCCTCTCATTCGTAGTATACACTGATCTTGAGAGCGTATTACACAAAACTGATGGAAAAACGCAGCAACCATCTTATGCGTATCAACATCACACGGCGTTTAGCATAGAATATTATGTTTGCTGCTCATACAACGACTCTTTCTCTTCTTATCGGTATCGTCGCGGCGAAGATTGCATCGCATGGTTCGTCGATGAACTCAAAGAATTGGCTAATCGAGTAAAAACAATTTTATCTATCAATGTGCCCATGGAGATGTTAACAGAAGAACAAAAATCAGTTTATCGTAACGCGAGTCACTGTCACGTGTGCGAGAAACCATTCGCAACAGATGATAAAAGTTCGCGATCATTGTCATACAACCGGTCGATACAGAGGTCCCGCACACTCCAACTGCAACTTATAAAGATTCACACTGTATCCCAATAATTTTTCACAATTTATCCGGTTACGATGCGCACTTTATTATTAAAGAGGTTGCGACTGCATTCAAAGGAAATGTCACTGTTCTCCCTAGTAACAAGGAGAGATATATATCCTTTTCCAAGAACGTGGCGCAACCGGGAAAAAACACTCAAAAAAGTCACAATATAGAGTTGCGATTCATTGATTCGTACAAATTTCTCAGCGCTAGTCTCGATAAACTAGCATCGTTTCTTCATAAAGACAAGTTGAAAATTGTACAATCAGAATTCAGAAATTTATCCGTCGAAAACTTTGAATTATTAACGCGTAAATGGGTCTTTCCATACGAATACATAGACTGTGTCGACAAGTTGCAAGAGCAGCGTTTACCACCGCGCAAGTCATTTTACAGTTCTCTGACTGGTGAAACGATATCCGAGAGTGAATATGCACACTTTGTAAACATCTGGCAGCGATTTTCTATTAGTACGTTAACTGAATACAGCGATTTATATTTGAAGATTGATGTATTATTATTAGCTGATATATTTGAGAATTTTCGAGAAAGTTGTATTCGAAGTTACGGATTAGATCCCGCGCATTATTATACTCTACCCGGTTATACGTGGGACGCTATGCTGAAACACACAGGTATAACGTTTGACTTGCTCACAGATGTTGATATGGTTATGTTTATCAAACACAGTATACGTGGTGATCTTAGCCAGTGCAGCACAAGATATGCGCACGCAAATAACAAGTACATGCAGACATACGATTCATCAAAACCAACGTCGTATCTCATGTACTTTGATATAAATAACTTGTACGGCTGGGCAATCTGTCAGCCATTACCGTATGCCGCATTCCAATGGGTAGACAACATCTGGAGTGTCGACGTGATGTCTGTGACAGCAACCTCAGACATTGGTTACATCTTTGAAGTTGATCTCGAGTATCCTCGCAAACTGCATGACGCGCACGCTGACCTACCGTTCTGCCCGACGCGCGATAAGCTGCCTGGCAAGCGACAGAAGAAGCTGCTTGCAACACTACACGATAAATCGCGTTATATTATTCATTATCGCGCTCTGCAACAATGTGTGCGACACGGTCTTTGTATTACAAAGATCAACCGCATATTACAATTTGCGCAATCTCTGTGGCTCCGCAGTTACATCGAATTAAACACACAATTTCGAACGCTCCCTACCAACGACTTTGAGAAAAATTTGTACAAACTGATGAATAACGCAGTCTTTGGTAAAACTATGGAAAATGTGCGAAGTCATGTAGACGTAAAACTTGTAACAAAGTGGGATGGAAGATACGGTGCGGAAGTACTGATCTCTCGACCAAATTTTTATAGTCGAAGCGTCTTTTCTGAACATTTTATTGCGATTGAATTGCGTAAACTTGAAGTGAAATTCAACAAACCGATCTACGTAAAAATGTGTAGATTAGATATATCCAAGACGTGTTTGTATGAATTTCACCACAATTACATGGTACCTCTGTATCAAGAAAAATGTAAAATTATGTACACCGACACAGACAGTTTCATTTATTTCATCGAATGCGAGAACGTGTATGATATCATAAAACGTGACATCGTTCGATTCGACACAAGTGATTATCCGACTGATAACGTGTACGGTATGCCACGCGTCAACAAAAAGATTCCAGGATTGATGAAGGATGAAAATAATGGAATGATAATGACTGAATTCGTCGGACTTAGAGCAAAAATGTATGCATTAAAGGTAGATGGAAAGAAAGACACAAAAAAGGCCAAAGGTATAAAGAGTAGCGTCGTAGCGAGAACATTAACGTTTGACGATTACAAACAATGTTTGAATGATAAAATCGAAAAGATTTGTCGACAGTCGTGTATACGATCAAAGTTACACGAAGTATACACTGTGTCCGAATCGAAACTTGCTCTAAGTCCGTAAGACGACAAACGGTATATGGTACCCGATTCTACCGAAACGTTACCATGGGGACATTACAAAATACCACAAGAAAACCGTGTATAATATAGATTATATGTATATTGTCATTTAATATGTGTAATAATAATTATGTATATATGTTGTATATAAATTTTGTATATAGTGTGTTTACAAGACATTAGTTTTATCTATCCAAGAGTTGTATGACTTGTCTAATCCTAGCCACTTCACATACACCTTGTCACCTTTCTTGCGTGATACTTTTTCCACGAGATAAACGTCTGGATGTGCAACGCGATGCAGTTCGTATTCGTAGAATCCTCCAGCAACAGATTGTTCGCGTTAATCCTCAAGCAGATACGTCACAGGATAGGTCGTTTGTATTTTACTGATTTTAAATACTTCGATCGTCCAATTTGGCGTATATCCTTTATCAGATACTGTTTTATAAATTTGCTCACACGTACCGGATCACACACTTTGAATCGTGCTGGCCTTGTGATCTTGACATTGCTGTACACCGTGGTTAAGAGCTTCTCGGCGATTGCTGGGGTAACATCGATAGGTCGCATACCGATAGTTCGATGTTTTTTCGCGTTGTACTCCATAAGAAGACGCGGTAATATGTCGATCCATTTGTAGGTTCCGTTAAGTGTAAATTGTTTCCACATGTCGTTCTTCAACGTACGGTTGAATCGTTCTACAATTGAAGCCTTCATAGCGGAATATGTGGAATAATGATTAATGTTATGCTTTTTCATCAGTGTTTGTACATCTATATTGTAGAATTTCTTTCCACAGTCGGTTTGCAAATTATTTGGACATCGTTTGGTATCCTGAAATATTCCTGCAAAACTTTTAGCGACTTTGCATCCACTCTTACTCTTAAGCGGTATAACCCACGCGTACTTGCTCAGCACATCGATAACCGTAAGTATGTAGTGGTAGCCTGTGTTGAAGCGCGAATGCATCTTTACCACATCCGCTTGCCAGAAATCATCGTATCCGCGTACGATAACGCGTCTACGGGGAAAATTTCTTCTTGCCGGAGCATGCAATTCTTCTACAAGACGTTGTTTTTTGATTGTGACATGATTCGTCGCCATAGCTGTCTTACTATATGTCTACTGTGTCAGTCGTTTTATTTTGGTTTGATAGATATTGAAGTGTACGCTGAATTTGTTTTATAGCGTCGCGCAACGCTTGCACATCCTGTTGCAATGCGATAATTTTTCTCTCACGTGTCTCTTGCCATTCATTCACATTCGTGACACACATATCTACGTATCGTTTGTTGGCGGCGTCAGTGTCGATATCGGGTTGCGCTACATGCAGTATCTTGCGCGACCTTGCATTGTAGCCGGAACCGACAAAGCAGAAAGCGGTATTACGCACGTCATTTCGCAGTATTGTTTCTTTCTCAAATAATACATTGACGCTCTATGTGTTCCAAGCGATATCCCAAATTTGTTGATTGGCATGATGACGCGCACACGACTGACTGACTCTAACGCCGACGCGCTATTTAATTTATAATGAATCCCGCTTCGCGGAGTTCTTCGATGATCGACAGGATTTCATCGTCGTCATTATTGCCCGCTTGACGGGAAGCGTCTAGCAACCACAGACGGTCGATGAATTCATTGGGATCGTCCCAGTGCGAGTACTCAATCTTACTATCACTTAACGTCATATTACGCGGTATACCTTTTCTCTGCTTAGTACGCACACTGGATATTGGTGCACTTGGATATAAAGGTGCAATTATGTATCTGTATTTGTATCCTTTGTTACCCAGTATTGCACCAAGCCTGTTGTGATGTTTTCTATGAGCATGTGTTATTTCCCATATCTTTTTGTATCGTTGTTTATCTTCTTCGGTATATAATTCGCTCTTTGGACATTTTATGAAAATCAATTTATACAATTCTTGTGTTGCTTTGAATCGTATACCATCTATGATTATATTATTCTGTTCATCCACGTCAAAACGCTTATCACCGAGCATCACTCCATCGTTGTCGAAATACACACCATATACGTAGTCTATGTCGTTCTCTTTCTTACCACTCAGGATAGCTTTCATATATTGTTGCGTACCGGACCAAAATGTTTGAAACTTTTCAAGACCTTCCAACGTTTGCATTTGACGTTGAATAGTTAACTCAAACGATTTGTTGGTAGTAGCATCAGTAGCGACGATAGTGTCAATCGATGGAGAATGTCAATTGTCGTTTGGTTCGTTCTTTCGTCGGAGTAGAAGTCGTCATTGCAGTGTTATATCGTGTGCGCTTTGAAGTGTGTAAAGTAGGGGACAGTGTTTCGTTTGATGTCTGTGTTCGTTTTTGCTTCGTCTCGTGTGACGTGTCTTCAAGAAACACTGTGTTCGACGTCTTTTGCTTAGTTTCCGTATTTTCAGCAATCTGTTTTAGAGGTTTGATAATAAGTTTGAACTGTCTTTTCAATGTAATTTCTTCTTCTAATTTACCGGTTTTCAGAGCGCGATATTTTTGACGAATGGATTGACTCGTTTTTGCAATCTCCTTCGCTACTTTCTCGCGATCTATAATTTCATTGCTTTTGTCAACTATGTTGCTCGCACTGTAGGAGAGACGATACTTGGTTGATGTCTTAACAATAATTAACCACTCGACGGTATCGCGAACTCGTTAAATCCTTTTCTATAACGACCTCTGTTCAAAAAACTGTCCTTGTCGATCACTAAAAATCCATATTTGGTTTGCCAACATTTGTGGCATAATATACAAAACTTCTCGTACGACATATCTGTATTTACATGATTGTTATACACATGTTTGAGATTGGTACCATCTTGTTTAAAAAGAATTATTAGATTTGCGTTGTCACGTATAAAATGCTTTGGTATCCTCGCGTACGTCTGACAAAAATAGAAACAGTCGACACACGAGTGACGACCCATTGCAAAGTATTCTTGTATCGTATCCTGCTTGTCACATGCCACGTCATGAAAAATAAAAATAGAATTCGGAAGTGCTTCACTTGGCGAAATCACATCGCTATTATTAGAAAAAGTAAAGTAACCGATTTCGTCTCCTGCTAAAAGTACATTCTCCAGATATTGATACTTTAGTTGTTGCAACGACTTGGAATACACGTACACGTTCTCAAAACGTACACCGTATGGACTTTCAAGCAAGCTTAACACTACATTCGTTTTGCCGCAGTTCGAAGGACCGCACACAATACCACGTATAGTAACCGGTAGCATTATTCCATGTCTGCGTATTTTCTTGCCGGACATTTGGTGAGTCTTGCTGTCAAAATTAATTACTTTATTTGTTACAGGTTGCCGTACAAACTGCATGGTTTGTTTGTAACTGCCTCGCGCGAAAAGCACCTATTTATAGAGACGCGTCGAGAGTTTCTACTCAATCGTCAGAAGACAGCTGATGTCAAACGTATATTGCAATCTATGTCAGGTCGTGGATTGTTAAATCGCGTGATAAACGCTCTTTCCGTCGAATTACATATTCCGGGCTACCAATTTTATGGCCCGGGAACGCGTTTGGAAAAACGATTAGCTAGAGGCGATCGCGGCATTAATCCATTGGATGCGGCTTGTCGTAAACACGATATAGCTTATTCGCGAAGCAACAAATTGCTGCTCGACACGTGGCTGATAACGCACTTGCTGCAAAGGCGCGCGATCGTATTATAGCGGCAGACTCGAGTCTCGATGAGAGAGCAGCTGCGACCGCCGTATGGGCGGCTATGAAAGCAAAAACTAAATTTGGCATGGGCTTGAAAAAGAAAAGCAAGTCAGCAAAAAAGAAGCGAATACTTCCAATTGCTAATCGCGGCGGTGTGTTATCGGTCTTACCGCTGCTAGGTGCTCTCGGTGCGCTCGTTGGTAAAGCGGCGGGAGTTGCAAAAACGGTAAATGATACGAGAGTTGCACAGCGGCAGCTAGAAGAAATGCAACGTCATAATCGCGCGATAGAAGATCGAGGAATTTATCTGACTCTGTACGGACGGGGACTTTCAAAGAAAAAAAAACATTAAATGTTTTTTTGTCACCTACAGGTGTAACAACAAATATGCAGTTAGAACAACTAGCTAAGCGCATGCGTATACCTTTCTTTAGAGGTGTTTTCATGCGTAATACATTACCGAACATAGTACATTGCAATGAAAGTGGTATCGTCAATTTGGATGATACAAATGGACTCACTGGGTGGCGTATGCAAAAAGAAGAAAGCATGTCATACTATATATCTGTCGTGCTACTTGACAGATTTCTAACCTACTTGCAGATTTCTAACCTACAAATCTGCAGACATAAAGCTCGTCTTATATTAGTCGCAGAGAGCAAACGCAAGTCTCACAAATTGACCGAACGCATCTATCGAATCACTCAATTGCAACACGATTGGTCCCTTCCGCGAGATCTGTGACTGCAATTGTGTTTTGCACTATATAGAACGACTTTAAAATAACTCGGTTTGCGAAGCACATGTTTTTCTGCCTAAATTTTCATTGCAACAAAAAACAAGTAAAATTTTTACAGGTTTCAGTGAAAAAATCATAAAGTGAATATTGAAATGTGAATATTTGTGTTGCATTTGTTCTGTAATATTACATTGTAGTGCAAGAAATTATGTAATATTACATAATAATGTATTACATTTATATTGTGTTGCATTCATTTAATATATTGTGTTGTATTCAATTGCGGTAAATTGTGATTATTTTGTGTTATGTGATGCTCCGTTTAGACTCATCTCTACTAACGTGAGTATAGAAAACACAGCCAACGCATGCTGGCTATTTCCTAAATAATATTAATATAAAATACTGTCTAATGCATTTTTTATATATAAATAACTAATTTTGTATATAACTAATATTAATATAAAATAACGTCTAATGTATCTTTTGGACTGTAAATTTGTTTTTTCTCCCAGAGGCGTTTTTGAAAACGTGTGCTGGTGTAAAAATTATTATAAACTGTCAACGCA